GCTGACGGACCGAGGACGAGTCTGGGCACAATGTGGAGGGGAATGTCTGAGGCTGACGGACCGAGGACAAGTCTGGGCACAATGTGGAGGGGAATGTCCGAGGCTGACGGACCGAGAAGGACGGGTCTGGGCACAATGTGGAGGGGAATGTCCGAGGCTGACGGACCGAGGACGAGTCTGGGCACAATGTGGAGGGGAATGTCCGAGGCTGACGGACCGAGGACGAGTCTGGGCACAATGTGGAGGGGAATGTCCGAGGCTGACGGACCGAGGACGGGTCTGGGCACAATGTGGAGGGGAATGTCCGAGGCTGACGGACCGAGGACGAGTCTGGGCACAATGTGGAGGGGAATGTCCGAGGCTGACGGACCGAGGACGAGTCTGGGCACAATGTGGAGGGGAATGTCCGAGGCTGACGGACCGAGGACGAGTCTGGGCACAATGAGTAGGGGAATGTCCGAGGCTGACGGACCGAGAAGGACGAGTCTGGGCACAATGTGGAGGGGAATGTCTGAGGCTGACGGACCGAGAAGGACGGGTCTGGGCACAATGTGGAGGGGAATGTCCGAGTCTGACGGACCGAGAAGGACGAGTCTGGGCACAATGTGGAGGGGAATGTCCGAGGCTGACGGACCGAGAAGGACGGGTCTGGGCACAATGTGGAGGGGAATGTCCGAGGCTGACGGACCGAGAAGGACGAGTCTGGGCACAATGTGGAGGGGAATGTCCGAGGCTGACGGACCGAGAAGGACAAGTCTGGGCACAATGTGGAGGGGAATGTCCGAGTCTGACGGACCGAGAAGGACAAGTCTGGGCACAATGTGGAGGGGAATGTCTGAGGCTGACGGACCGAGGACGAGTCTGGGCACAATGAGTAGGGGAATGTCCGAGGCTGACGGACCGAGAAGGACGAGTCTGGGCACAATGTGGAGGGGAATGTCCGAGGCTGACGGACCGAGAAGGACAAGTCTGGGCACAATGTGGAGGGGAATGTCCGAGGCTGACGGACCGAGAAGGACGAGTCTGGGCACAATGTGGAGGGGAATGTCTGAGGCTGACGGACCGAGAAGGACGAGTCTGGGCACAATGTGGAGGGGAATGTCCGAGTCTGACGGACCGAGAAGGACGAGTCTGGGCACAATGTGGAGGGGAATGTCCGAGGCTGACGGACCGAGGACGAGTCTGGGCACAATGTGGGGGGAATGTCTGAGGCTGACGGACCGAGGACGAGTCTGGGCACAATGTGGAGGGGAATGTCCGAGGCTGACGGACCGAGAAGGACGAGTCTGGGCACAATGTGGAGGGGAATGTCCGAGTCTGACGGACCGAGAAGGACGAGTCTGGGCACAATGTGGAGGGGAATGTCCGAGGCTGACGGACCGAGGACGAGTCTGGGCACAATGTGGAGGGGAATGTCTGAGGCTGACGGACCGAGGACGAGTCTGGGCACAATGTGGAGGGGAATGTCCGAGGCTGACGGACCGAGAAGGACGAGTCTGGGCACAATGTGGAGGGGAATGTCCGAGGCTGACGGACCGAGAAGGACGAGTCTGGGCACAATGTGGAGGGGAATGTCCGAGGCTGACGGACCGAGAAGGACAAGTCTGGGCACAATGTGGAGGGGAATGTCCGAGGCTGACGGACCGAGAAGGACGAGTCTGGGCACAATGTGGAGGGGAATGTCCGAGTCTGACGGACCGAGAAGGACGAGTCTGGGCACAATGTGGAGGGGAATGTCCGAGGCTGACGGACCGAGGACGAGTCTGGGCACAATGTGCAGGGGAATGTCTGAGGCTGACGGACCGAGGACGAGTCTGGGCACAATGTGGAGGGGAATGTCTGAGGCTGACGGACCGAGAAGGACGAGTCTGGGCACAATGTGGAGGGGAATGTCCGAGGCTGACGGACCGAGGACGAGTCTGGGCACAATGTGCAGGGGAATGTCTGAGGCTGACGGACCGAGGACGAGTCTGGGCACAATGTGGAGGGGAATGTCCGAGGCTGACGGACCGAGGACGAGTCTGGGCACAATGTGGAGGGGAATGTCTGAGGCTGACGGACCGAGGACGAGTCTGGGCACAATGTGGAGGGGAATGTCCGAGGCTGACGGACCGAGGACGAGTCTGGGCACAATGTGGAGGGGAATGTCCGAGGCTGACGGACCGAGGACGAGTCTGGGCACAATGTGGAGGGGAATGTCCGAGGCTGACGGACCGAGGACGAGTCTGGGCACAATGAGTAGGGGAATGTCCGAGGCTGACGGACAGAGAAGGACAAGTCTGGGCACAATGTGGAGGGGAATGTCCGAGGCTGACGGACCGAGGACGAGTCTGGGCACAATGTGGAGGGGAATGTCCGAGGCTGACGGACCGAGAAGGACAAGTCTGGGCACAATGTGGAGGGGAATGTCCGAGGCTGACGGACCGAGGACGAGTCTGGGCACAATGAGTAGGGGAATGTCCGAGGCTGACGGACCGAGAAGGACAAGTCTGGGCACAATGTGGAGGGGAATGTCCGAGGCTGACGGACCGAGAAGGACGGGTCTGGGCACAATGTGGAGGGGAATGTCCGAGGCTGACGGACCGAGAAGGACAAGTCTGGGCACAATGAGTAGGGGAATGTCCGAGGCTGACGGACCGAGGACGAGTCTGGGCACAATGTGGAGGGGAATGGCCGAGGCTGACGGACCGAGAAGGACGAGTCTGGGCACAATGTGGAGGGGAATGTCCGAGGCTGACGGACCGAGGACGAGTCTGGGCACAATGTGGAGGGGAATGGCCGAGGCTGACGGACCGAGGACGAGTCTGGGCACAATGTGGAGGGGAATGTCCGAGTCTGACGGACCGAGAAGGACGAGTCTGGGCACAATGAGTAGGGGAATGTCCGAGGCTGACGGACCGAGGACGAGTCTGGGCACAATGAGTAGGGGAATGTCCGAGGCTGACGGACCGAGGACGAGTCTGGGCACAATGTGGAGGGGAATGTCCGAGGCTGACGGACCGAGGACGAGTCTGGGCACAATGAGTAGGGGAATGTCCGAGGCTGACGGACCGAGGACGAGTCTGGGCACAATGTGGAGGGGAATGGCCGAGGCTGACGGACCGAGGACGAGTCTGGGCACAATGAGTAGGGGAATGTCCGAGGCTGACGGACCGAGGACGAGTCTGGGCACAATGTGGAGGGGAATGGCCGAGGCTGACAGACCGAGGACGAGTCTGGGCACAATGAGTAGGGGAATGTCCGAGGCTGACGGACCGAGAAGGGAAGGTCTGCATCACCAGTGGACCTCATCCTCCGAGGCTGATGGTTTTAGTCTACCTACCCTTTATCAAGAGCTAGCTTAGAAGACTATCTTTCTGGACAGACAGACTTCTCAATTAAAGCTGAAGAAAATTTCCCCAAAGTATTAACACTGATGAATGTAATACTTATCAGACTATGCTGGACTCATCTCCAATGTGTGAATGCTATGTTCAAAATTAATGACTATTTCACAATATTATATTTGTAATCACTTAAACTTTAGAATGGAGTTCACAGGATTCATTTGGAAAAGTTACAAACTCATTTCCTCATTTGACATCAGTGAGTCCCATGGAGAAATTTCACTATTTTATGTCTCTTCATTTAGTAACGATTTTATGACGGCTTCTGACAACCTGAGAATTGATGGATGAATGGAGCATACTAGTGCCACGTCAAATGATATCAAGTGCATTTATCTAAGCATGATATTTATTGTTTATAGAACAGACATCATTTGTGGACATTATCAAGGCAAACAGGCTTCAAAAAATTTCACAAAATGTAAAACCACCGACAATAATTCAGCTTATCAGAGACCATATATTGATTTGTTTTAGATGTTAATATGCTTCATTTTGAGGGCCTGAGGATGATTCATATGTAAGGATGCATGTGTAAGGTTCCGTCATTTATATCAGGGAGGGGTGGTTCCTGCTGGTAGTGTTTGTGTGGGAATGTACTTCTATAGATTTGTAACTTTCTAGTGAAAATATTAAAAATTAAATCCTCACCAAAACACCAAGAGTAACATGAATATGTTTTAATTCTAATTGAAATATGATTCATTACATGTCATGATAGGACAAACGTTTTGGAAGGGTCAGCTAACTATGTATAATTGATTGGAAACATTAACACTGTATTTTGCTGGTCATATTTTCACACACTATGTCCTAAATTCTTTTATCAGAGAAAGCATCAGTTCTAATAGTGCCACAACCCAGCTACGCTTTTCATAAAGGAACTCTGGGGTGTTCTGTTTACCAAACACATGTTCTTTAATTAGATTAATACAGTGTAGCCTGTTGGTTTCTGTTTAGCCTTGCTCCAAGGCTGTACTGAAAGAAAAGTCCATGGATGTGTAGTAATTCTATCCTCTTAATAGGCAAGTCTAGATATGAGGACAGTACATCTAAGGACTCCAGTCTCCCTTAGGGACAACTTGTTCTCATTATTCATATAATCAAGAAATTATGACTAAAACTAATAATTTTTGCCTTAGAGACTTGTGCAAGTCTAGTGTCTCCTGCCCTGTCGTCCATTATTTCCGAATAATGCAGACCTACTTTTCTATAATGACTAACCTAGAAGATTAAACGCTACAAAAAACTGGACTTTTGGAAACCACTGCTTAATTACTTTTCCAAACTTCCATACAAGTTCTTTGGCAGTGCAGACATTCCCATTTTCACTCCACCTTCTTTTGACAAGTATGATCTACAGCGTTTATCTCCCTTAGGGCACATGTCCCCAAGCTCCTCACAGCGATAGTACGTTCCCGGAGCTCTCGATCTATACTATTACGAGAGTGTAACGAAGGTGTCACGCGCTGGGAAGGAGCTTGACCTGTCCCCCGTGCTCTCTCGTTATTCAGATGCATCTGCTTCAAACTCCACACTGGGTTTACGGTAAAATTCACTATGTACCTTTCATCAACCATTCCCAACACTGCACCAGAGTTTACCGCGGATCTATAAATAGCCAAATACATCACGGCGCAGTTCTTGCACCACTACCGGGAAATCCAGGCAAGGATACAAATCTATTTATAAACGACTGCGATTGTGCCTCAATATAAGACAGGGGGGTGTTGTTTTTACCAGCAACTTTGGTTGATCTTCGCTACAGAAGGTAAGGGAACTTTAGGTTTCAGCAGACGTTAACACAGTCAGTGCAGAATCGTAGCGATGCATGTATCATATGTACCGTATCCACGGGGGCAGACGAGGATGTGAAAAGTGGACCCATATACCGTGCAGTAGATCATCCAAGTTCATATTTATATATAAAACTATTTTTGTTCCCCTTTTAAACAGTGAACTTTTGACGAGTATGAAAAAATATAAATATTCAAATATATGTCATTTATCAGTGCCAGGCAAATCTAGCCAATATATTTTTTTTATTTTAATGAAACCATACTCACTCACTCACTCACTCTCATAATATGCTGACATGTCATGATATATCTGCATGTATTTACATATGTCTCAGGATCACAACATGAATGTTATTTGTTCTTAGATCAAATCTGGCTTCTGAGGGCATTAAGAGATCTTCATCGCCCGTTGCCATGGCGGAAGTTAACAATCAACAAGCAGGAGAAGCCGCAGCGATCAAAGCCGCCCACCCGGGTCGATGTCGCGTGATGACCGATGTTGGGAGGTTCAGTCATGTCATCACAGTTCAACCCATGAATATGGATGCCACCATCAAATTCCAGCTGGAAGGTAGGGATAAAAACTCAAAGTAATTTATTTATGGGTTCTGAGGGAGTCTCTTGATTTGTTGATATTTAATCACGGATGATTGGTCAACCAAATTCAGTAAAGGCATGAATATTACTCAATGTTGTCAGCTGTCACCCTATTCAACAAGAGGTATCAAAGAACACTGGTATTGACTATGATGCCATATGGCTGGAACATTGTTAACCATGTGCTGATACTGAGTGACTAACTGAGTTCCATGCTGTAGTCAGCAATATTCCATCTGAGTCCAAACATGATATCAGTGAGTGAGTATGGTTTTATGCCGTTTTTAGCAATATTCCAGCAATATCACGGCCAGGGACACCATGAATGGGCTCCAAACATTGTACCCATGTGGGGATTCGAACCAGGTCTTCAGCGAGATGAGCAAATGCTTTAACCATTAGGCTACCCCACTGCCCCCAAAAAGGTATGACAACTCTGTGGTTGATAGTGTGAGTCACTATAATGTGGTCACATGTACACAGCCCTGACACAGCCCTGTCACTCCTGGAACTTGGGCATGAGGAGGTAAGGCTGTAACCACTAGGCTACCCCACCACCCCATCTTCCCGAGGCAAGAGAGTTAACTGACTATAAAAGTCCAGTTTCCACCCTTGACGAACTAGGCTGGTATTATTGAGTTACATTTTGGCTTGACTAACGAGTCTATGCATAGTCCAATCAAAATAGCGCACCGAAATCGAAATCAGGCTCGTAAACTGTCGTGCAGATTTCGGTCGATTGCAGGTTTTGCAAAGCATTTGCACCGCCAACTCGTCAGCAGATATCTTCCAAATCTTTTCATGTTTTTAATCAAGGAGCTCACGTGATTCGATGCATTTCACGATGTAAGATCCGTTTTATCACAATGTAGATCTCAATTATCGATCAGATCGCCCTAACTCGGCGCCACCATTTTGTGTGAACCAAATGCAAGTGATACGAGAGGTTGACTCTGGTTGGTCCATAGGAGAGGCATAGAAGGGACATAACTGGTAATAGCCACTGGTGGTGCTTCGATCGAGCCCAGTGATTCCAGCCTAGTTCGGCAAGGCTGGAAACTGGACTTTTAAAGTCAGTTAACTCTCTTGCCTCGGGAAGATGCACCACCCTAAAGCAGATGTGATCCCATCATGTCAGCGATTGCAATGTTCCTGTACATTATTTGACTGTGACATGATAAGTAATAGATCTCTAATCTTCTCTCCTTGCAGCTTCCTATCCAAGCAAGGTTCCCACAGTAACAGTCCGATCTGAGGCTCTGACTGATGACGACAAGATAGAGCTGCAGCAGCACCTCACAGAGGAGGCCGAGGCTAGCCTCAACACGCCAATGATTCAGACTCTGGTGGACAAGGCCACCGACTGGCTCAAGAGCAACGGAATGAGATCAGGGAAGCCTGGACGCTCAAGCGACGTTAACTCTGCTTCCAGACACCGTGGGAAGAAAGGGAAGGGAAAGAAGAAGGTTGTCGATGAAGTTGTGGTGGAGAAGCTGGTGTCAATGAAGACGGCTGACGATGTTATAAAGCGTATCATGTGGGATGGATCCCTGCAGAGTGATGACTTCCTTGTCGGATACTGGGATCGCTTCCGGGGGATCATGGAGAAATACTTTTCCGCGTTCTCCTGGGAGGACATTGCTTCAGTTGACTACACTGTTCTGGCCATACCGAAACACAGGATCCAGTACTTCAAATATAAAACCGAGATCGTCTGGGACAAGGGTTCCAGACTGGACAACGTGTTTGGGTCGACAGGGGGAAAACTGACCATCACTGATGTCATTGAGAGGTATGAGAGGAACCGACAGAATCAGGCCCAGGTAGAAGATCATGACGAGGACAAGGACGTGGACGAAGATGAAGACAGCGACAGCGATGATGGCATCACTGTGACCATTGGCGGCATCAGTAACGGTGCATCCACTCAGAGACCAACATCGGACACTAACCACTACGTTGCTGGAGGAAACAAAGAAAATGACTGGCATGATGATGACAAATTCAATCCTTTCTGGAAGGACAAACTGCGACCAAACTACTTCATCGCCGTGAGGGTGACGGATCACGAGGTAATGGAGACCCTGGAGAGTGTCCAGGACTACATCCTCGAGAATGAACCACGGTACTCCAGTTGCTGCATCCCTGGAGGCTCGCTCCACATCACGCTATGCACCCTGGGGCTGGATACCCCCGAGCAGGTCAGCAACGCTGTCCGGGCTCTCGAGACCATGAAGTCTGACCTGGCAGCATCTGCCCCGAAGGAACCACTGAAGCTGGTCGGGGTCGCCAACTTCTTCAACAGGGTCGTCTATGCAAAGGTGCAGTGCCCGGAAACTTTCATCCCATTTGTGGACCATATTAAGCTGTGTATGAATGAAGCAGGCGTGGACATTCGGGATGGGTACGAGTTTATTCCTCACATGACCATCATGAAGACAACGCGTCCCGTCTCCCGGGTGATGGGGACAAAGGAGGTCAGTCCGTTTCTCTATGAGGGCTTCGCTGACATGACGTTCGGGACTCAGGCGATAGATGGCATCCATCTTTGCTCTATGGAAACACAGAGGAGGGACGATGGCTTCTACATCTCTCCATGTCACATTGACTTCACTCAGTCAGAATAAACTTCACAAATGGAAATCAGCAATGCAGCAATGTTGATATTGTACTTTAAAAAATACAAAAACTTTGATCAAATTTTTTCTGAAGCAGACTGATTGATGTGCCAAGTGTTCTATCTGTGATCCATGTCATTAAATCATATTACGTATATTTGTACTTTTGTTTCTGCTTTAACATTTTCTTTGGCTTGATTCATGGACTGGCTGCCTTATAAATTTAAAATTCACAAAAGAAACAAATCCGAATAAGTCCAGGGGATCCCCAATGATTAATATTAAGGGTCCTTGCAGGCAATGTGAGGGTCTTGACTGTAATGAAACTGTGTAGTGTACCGTGTGTCTAGATATTAAATTATTTTAGAGCCTGGAATGAATCAATGATCATGTGGACACTGGTCATGATTGTTCGATGAAAAAACATAACTCCTATAGATGCGCTGTAGGTACTGTGAACATGAATGTGGGACAGTATATATTTTCCTGCGTCCATTCTCTACATTGGTGAGTACTGGATGGACATTTGTGTGTCTCTTAAAACCCTGATGTTTTCCAATGATAAATTGTCATTACAAGACAAGGCAGATTTTAGATTTATAACATTTATTTGAACCAAACCAGGTCAAGATTATTTGTTTATCACCTTCCGATCCAAATCTTAACTTTTGGATGACTAATGTTTTTCTCTACAATGCATCTTATCCCTAACCAGCTGACAAGATGTTTTACTATCAAAATCTGTAGACAAAGACAAAAGGAAACTGTTCCTAGTCAGTCACACAGAAGACAGGAAGAAACAAGCATTGCTACACAAAGATAAATGCTGGAGTATGCAGGGATGGTGCACTGAGGGAATAAGAAGAAATACATCTAAATAAAACAAATAAACATAAAGGGCAACATTAATCATCAAAATTGTATGCTTTCAATAATTGTCCCGTGAAGATCCAGGTTACAACTGGTCTTCAGTGACCCATACTTTTCATAAGAGGCAGTAGTCAGGCTCCCTGACCTTGGTAATATTGTTTCCTGGAATCCCCAAGGGGCGGGAAACATGACATACTGGGGATCTATTCTTTCCTGGATTCCCAAGGGGCGGGAAACGTGACATACTGGGGATCTATTGTTTCCTTGAATTCCCAAGGGGCGGGAAACATGATGTACTTGGAATCTATCGGTATTCTTTCCTGGATTCCCACGGGGCGGGAAACGTGATGTACTGGGAATCTATCGTTTCCTGGAATTTCCAAGGGGCGGGAAACGTGATGTACTGGGGATCTATTCTTTCATAGATTCCCCAGGGGTGGGAAATATGATGTAGGGGGATCTATTGTTTCCTGGAATCCCCAAGGGGTGGGAAACGTGATGTACTGGGGATCTATCATCTCCTTGAATTCCAAAGGGGCGGGAAACGTGATGTACTGGGGATCTATCATCTCCTTGAATTCCAAAGGGGCGGGAAACGTGATGTACTGGGGATCTATTCTTTCATAGAATCCCCAAGGTGCAGGAAATGTGATGTACTGGGGATTTATTATTTCATAGAATTCCCGAGGGGCAGGAAACGTGATGTACTTGGGATCTATTCTTTCATAGAATCCCCAAGGGGCGGGAAACGTGATGTACTGGGGATCTATTCTTTCATAGAATCCCCAAGGTGCAGGAAACGTAATGTACTGGGGATCTATTCTTTCATAGAATTCCCGAGGGGCAGGAAACGTGATGTACTGGGGATCTATTCTTTCATAGAATTCCCAAGGGGCAGGAAACGTGATGTACTGGGGATCTATTCTTTCATAGAATTCCCAAGGGGCGGGAAACGTGATGTACTGGGGATCTATCATTTCCTGAAATTCCAAAGGGGCGGGAAACGTGATGTACTGGGGATCTATCATCTCCTTGAATTCCAAAGGTGCAGGAAATGTGATGTACTGGGGATCTATTCTTTTATAGAATCCCCAAGGTGCAGGAAATGTGATGTACTGGGGATCTATTCTTTCATAGAATTCCCGAGGGGCAGGAAACGTGATGTTCAGGGGATCTATTCTTTCATAGAATCCCCAAGGGGCGGGAAACGTGATGTACTGGGGATCTATTCTTTCATAGAATCCCCAAGGTGCAGGAAACGTGATGTACTGGGGATCTATTCTTTCATAGAATCCCCAAGGGGCGGGAAACGTGATGTACTGGGGATCTATTCTTTCATAGAATCCCCAAGGTGCAGGAAACGTGATGTACTTGGGATCTATTCTTTCATAGAATTCCCAAGGGGCGGGAAACGTGATGTACTGGGGATCTATCATTTCCTGAAATTCCAAAGGGGCAGGAAACGTGATGTACTGGGGATCTATTGTTTCCAGGAATTCCCAATGGGCGAAAAACGTGATATACTGGGGATCTATTCTTTCATAGAATCCCCAAGGGGCGGGAAACGTGATGTACTGGGGATCTATTGTTTCCTGGAATCCCCAAGGGGCGGGAAACGTGATGTACTGGGGATCTATCGTTCCTGGAATTCCAAAGGGGAGGGAAACGTGATGTACTGGGGATCAATTCTTTTCTGGAATCCCCAAGGGGCGGGAAACGTGATGTACTGGGGATCTATTGTTTCCTGGAATTCCCAAGGGGAGGGAAACATGTAAAACATTGTGGTATTTCTACTGATTATGATGATTTATAAAATGCAATACCCAAAGAATTTCCATGAAGTCTGGCTTCCTTACGTTCCTGAAAGTATGTAATTTTTTAACCAATGAACAAGTGAGAGAAGCCAGAAGGATATCAGTTATAATCCATGTTTGGCGCGGAAATGAACACAACAGCATTGTCTGAAAGAACATATATCAAGAATTTCTACACAGATGTAACATGGGAATTGTAAGTTTCATCCTATTAATGGGTGTTATTCTCCACCAAAGCTTAAAAATACATATTATCTCAGGATTGTTGATAATTCTTATATGCAACACATTGTAAATGTATCCAGGGTTTCAGGTCTTTGAAAGGCATTTAGAATTCACCTGATGAAGGAGTAAGCATATACTCCGAAACGTTGTGTTCCTCATAATGAAGAAGTTGACAACCATATATTTTCTTCCTTATATCCAGGGTTTCTTTAATATAAACATTAAAAGAAACACCCAATGACCTAATTTGCTAAGTTAACGAAAACAATAAATAGATTGGGTTTTTATTTGGATAGTAAAAAGTGAAAAAGGTTCAGTTATTGAGTAAGACGATATTACCTTTCAGGAGTTCGAACACATGTCTTGTTATTACAAACAGAAATAGATGTGCATCAAATAGAGTTTAGAGTTATCTTCTCTTGACAAGGCAATGTGCAAGCTCCTTCCCAGCGCGTGGCACCTTCGTTACACTCCGCGAACGGGATATCGCTGTGAGGAGCTTGGGCAATGTTCAGGAAAACGAAACGTCAAATGTTAAAATTGCACAACGCAAGCTCAGATAAAAATTAAAAGAGTTTGCGTTGATCGCGCGTGACAGTTGCTGAATTCCCAGACAGCAGTACCATATCTGTTCTGAGTTGTCAAAAAAGGTAAGTTGCGAATCAACGTTAATTTGTTTGTTGTGTTACACTGCAGTTGAGTCAAGAGACAAGACACAGCCAGTCTGTGTCGAGATAGATCGGGAGCGTAGCCCATACACAATAACACGCACATCGCGTTAGTGCTTGTTGTCTGTTTTTGGATTTATGACTGAAAGGTCACACTCAATATTTAATAGCAGCCGAGTGTAATTCCCAGCTGTCATGCATGTGCATTCCACGTCTTCTTTGGAAGTGGGTGTGTGCACCACTCGAGTACGAGGTTAACCGCCCTGTTTGCTCAGGTAGCTGCTGACGGCGCCGATTGATATTTATTTCATTGAATGTTCGAATACATCTACCAACATGTAATTGCTGCAGTACATATTTTAATTAGTCTTTGTTTCAACACATGCACTGTTATTACCGAACGGTTGTAGATTTTCTTTAATTATCTTATTACTGATAGGATCTGTTTTCAGCACATTTTTAGCAGCCTGAAGAATATTTTCAACAGGCCAATCAAGACTACTCACTTACACTTTGATTCAGTTTCTGCACCGGTAAACAGTTTTATATGTGCCAACTCGTATTTGTTACTCTAGTTGGTTCAACATGTGGAATTGAGGAGGCTAAAACCAGAGACCATATAATAGACCACATGATAGATATGGCCCCTGCTAAAACTTACCACTGTAACCTCTCAATGTGTTGGATAGACTACAGAAAAGCTTACGATTCTGTACCTCACGAATGGATTCTGAAGTCACTGGAATGCATTGATCTCCATTGGCAACTACTTGCCTTACTCAAGTCTTTAACGAATTGCATCATTTCTGTGAAAATGGCTACTGGAGACAGAGACTACATGGTCTCTGCTTTATGTTGAGTGAAAACAGCACCTTATAGTTATAATAAAGATAAAAATGATTTATTTAGTATTTATGTTTTATTCATTGGTAACATTGATTCTATTTTTGACACAATATTTCCACCATATATATAATTGTCACCTGGTCACAGATACTTTTCATTATTAATTAAATAAAATATTGTAAAGTGAGTGAGTATGGATTTACGGGTGACACCAGAAATGGTACACATTGTACCCATGTCCGGAATCGAACCGGGGTCTTTGCTGTGACAAGCTAACGTTTTAACCACAAGGCTACCCCCCGCCCCATGTTTAGATAGCATAATATCAGCATGATTAGATCTGCTTTTGTGAAATATGGTCAATTTCATCCGATTAAAATTATCAGTAGGCCTCTCTTTCAACTCAAGTTGGAAGCTACCTGATCTACATGCACAGTATAAATACAATGGAATACATCTGCCTAATGGTATTTATGTTATAATATACTCAGATAAGTTTTACAAGCAAGATAATGATATAATTATGATCAAAGCCATGAAATTGGTACCAGCATATCTCTCTTCATATCACTGAATATAATTAGGCTGATAAAACCCTGTTTTATAAAACCAATCTCATTAAAATCAGATCTTAGTTGTCGCTACCGCTAAACAAAGATCTGAGGACAATCCTTTAGGGGTCACGTCAGACCGACCTTTCATCCGACCAATCAGAGCGTCACTTACCAGTGAAAGTGACAGTCGGAATGTGATTTCTAATCATGCAGCCTCGAAAACTTTAAAACGGGGTATTCCGAACGATAGTTACGGGCTTAACGACTGAATCTAACAATCTGGACCATATATTAGCCATTCGTGAATGTTCTTTTGTTCAGGTTTCAAATTTTTAAGCGAGAATATGTTTCGAAGCATAGTCACCAGTTTGAAATTAGTGCCATAAAGCACGAGAAAGCTGCCTTCTGATTGGCTAATGTCGACTTCTTGTGAGTAATTCCATTGGTCGGTCAGAGTTCGCAAAAGGTCGGTCTGACATGACCCGTAATGGGATGTCCTCAGGTCTTTGTTTAGCGGCAGCGAGAACTAAGTTCTGATTTTAATGAGATTGGTATAAAACCAACCAATGTTTGAAAATGGTGTGTACTGTACTGGCTCGTGTGATTAGCATTTAGCAGTACTAGAAGACTTGATTCAAGTCCCTCAAACAACTTTATTGGTTGTTTAGTTCAAATATTAAAGTAAATATCAATTGAGCGATTGTTCTGTCTGGCTGTCCTTGCCCTGTTATCTCGAATGTCTGGATATCTTGAGGTTACGACAGACTGCCGCTAGGGTCATGATAACAGGGTTTGACTGTATGTATAACTGCACACTTTTATATGTGGAGATATTGTTGAGCATGAAATATCACCATCAAGAATTGTCTGGATCGAGAAAAATGACCTCCAGGTAATAAAATATTTTTATATAATGAAGTTCTAATGTTAGACAGACGGCAGTTTTTTACATGGTATGAAGCACATTGTACATTGTTCCCTCCAGCTGTGTGTGTAGTTGCTATGTCCTCCTACAAACTACTGACCGATATGAATGCATGTGTGGCTATGTTGTTTCAGTCATGGCTGAAAAAGCGTTGAAATGCTTCGGGGCGGGGTACTCCGTCGCCAAGCCGTTGTTCCCGAACAGACTTTCAGTGAAGACCGAGGGCCACACCCTGCACGTTGTCACCTTTCAAACCGACCACAAGGACACACAGATCTTGTTTCATTTTGATGGTGAGCGTACATCCACATCTTATGACTTCTCATATAAGGATATTTAGAGGGGGGCTTTTACTGTGTATGATAAAACTTTACTGGCAATTTTCTCATTTAGAGGGGGACTTGGTTTGGGTTAGTAGGCAGTTCCCGCAAGTTGTAGTCAAGTCATGAAAGATCACTTTGTGAGTCCCCCCAACACATAAAGTTGTAGTCAAGTCATGAAAGATCACTTTGTGAGTCCCCACAACACATAAAGTTGTAGTCAAGTCATGAAAGATCACTTTGTGAGTCCCCCCAACACATAAAGTTGTAGTCAAGTCATGAAAGATCACTTTGTGAGTCCCCACAACACATAAAGTTGTAGTCAAGTCATGAAAGATCACTTTGTGAGTCCCCCCAACACATAAAGTTGTAGTCAAGTCATGAAAGATCACTTTGTGAGTCCCCACAACACATAAAGTTGTAGTCAAGTCATGAAAGATCACTTTGTGAGTCCCCACAACACATAAAGTTGTAGTCAAGTCATGAAAGATCACTTTGTGAGTCCCCACAACACATAAAGTTGTAGTCAAGTCATGAAAGATCACTTTGTGAGTCCCCACAACACATAAAGTTGTAGTCAAGTCATGAAAGATCACTTTGTGAGTCCCCACAACACATAAAGTTGTAGTCAAGTCATGATGAAAGATCACTTTGTGAGTCCCCCCAACACATAAATGAAGGGAGCTTGTAGTTGTTGTGGCCTGTTTCAAGTGTCAAGTGTCAAGTGTCAAGTGGCCTGTTTTCCAGATGTGTGTTGTCCTGTGTAAACCCGGAAAATCAGATTTTTGGCCATTACCATCTTGATTGTTTTCAAAATGGAATGTATCTTGATACATGTGTAGTGGGCCTATATATTCCTTCTTTCTTTTTTTCTTTTTCATACATTTTGTGCTTCGAACGAGTGCTCCCAAAAGGAGTGAGCTGAACTTTAGCATGCATGTATGAAGACATATGTTCAACAAATCGTTTTCAGACTGGCAAATCTTTGCAAACATGTTCTTCAGTAATACACCTTAACAACTTGGGAAGGCGTAAGAATCTTTTTTAATGATTTTCATCGGTAAGATATTTTGTGATATTTCAGAATCCTATCCTAGTCGGATACCAAAGATAAAGGTTTCATCTTCAACTCTGACTGAAGATCAGAAATGTGACCTGTCTGAGTTTCTTCACCGCAAGGGCAAGGCCGAGGAATACGGCAACTCCCAAACACTGCCATTGTTGGTAGAGCATGCTGGAAAATGGCTGCAAGAGAATTATGGGAAAAAAACAAGTGAAGTCAAACAGTGGAATAGAAATGAAATCCGGGAAGAGAGCTGGCAGTTGCAGGCCTCCCCAGAGACAGCTGCTGTGTCAAGTCCTGATCCAAGGGAGATAACTACAAGCACTCAAAGGGAGACAACTCCAACAGGAAGAAAACAAAGAGAGAGAAATGGAAACATGGCTCCTGAGTCATGGGCAGATTCAATCATACAGTTGAAGGCGGGGGACGATGAAGTAACCAGCTCTGACTGGAATGTTGTAGAGTCTAGGTCAAAGCCCATTAAAGGTTCAAAGAAAGAAAGTCAGAAGGTAAAGTTCACCCTAGACTCGGTGCCAAAGTTGGATGTGCCAGCTGACTCTCGTCGGGCGAATTACTTCGTCGCAATACGTTGCACCAATGGAGAGATCGGGGACGCTGTAACAGAGGTTGTCAAGAAGATGTTGAGTGTGGATAGCGTTTACCAGCCAATCTGCTACAACCGCAACGAGGTCCACGTCACCCTCACTACAGTGGCACTGCACTCGGACAGTGATGTCAACAAAGCTGTTAAAGCACTACAGGATGCGCGGGACGTGCTGATCGATCACGCCCCTACATCCTGTCTCAGGATCAGCGGCATTGATGAGTTCCAAGGAAGCAAGGTCGTGTTTGGCAAGGTCAGTGTTGAAGAAGACATCCTCCTGCTACGGAAGGTTGTGCGATGGGCTTTTGAGAAAGGTGGAATCTACCCAAAAGATAACTTTGACTACCATCCTCACATGACCCTTGCCAAGGTCAACATGGGCTTCACGAAAAAGACAGGCTTGCGGAATATCTCCCGTGTGGCATACGAGTCACTCTTGGACTATAAATTCGGCCAGCAGGGTGTGAAGGGGATCCACCTGTGTCAGATGGGTCATGAGAGGAGGGACGATGGCTTCTATGTCTGTCCAACACAGATCGACTTCAAGAAATAGAGCCACACTCACACAATGCTTTAACTCAACACTGGAGCATAGCACTAGAACACAACACTTTAACACAATGCTTGAATACAACTCTAGAACACAACACAAAAGCATAACATTAGAACAACACGAAAATGTAACACAAAGCTGGAACACAACTTTTTAACGAAACACTCTAACACAATGCTGGAATGCAACACTAGAATGCAACACTTTAACACAATGCTGGAACACAGCACTAGAACCAAACACAAAAGTATAACACTAGAACACAAAATGTAACACATTGCTGGAACGCACCACTAGAACGCAACATTTTAACGAAATACTTTAACACAGTGCCAGAGCACAACATCAGGATATTACACTAGAATGCAGTTAAACACAACACTAAAACACAGTTAAAAAAAGGATGCAAAAACACAATACTATAACACAACTTAGGAGCACAGTGCTATGACACATGACAATGGCAGCTTGCTTATATATCTAGGCAAACAAAGTTCTATGATTGATATATAAACAAAATATAATGTCCTGATGGGATATAAGAATATTTCGGGTGATTAACAGATCTAGTTTCAGATATATTCTTATATCCCATCAGGACATTATTAGACATGACTGTTGTGCTTCCCTTCATGCATCCTGTTTAATATAGGACAACTGCTTGTATTAACAACTTGGCATGAAGTGAGAGTCCAGTCTATGTCTAGGAGATGATATAGGCATCAAACAGGTCGTACTGGACGTCAGAGCATAAGTGACTGGCCATTTGATATTCTCTCTTGTGTGTGTGTGTGTGTGTGTGTGTGTGTGTGCGTGCGTGCGTGCGTGCGTGCGTGCGTGCGTGCGTGCGCGTGTGTGTGTGTGGAAAGGGGGGGGAGGAGGGGCTGGGATTTTGTATCGAGATTTGATATATATTCAGCTAGCCACTTTTTTTTAAAAACCTATGAGCCTGAATATTTTTAAGATTAACACTTGCTGCAACAATGTTTTTTGGGCAGGATGTTTCTTCTTCTTTTTTCAACAGTCTGAAGCATAATTATTTTAAAATCACAGCTTCCACCACCCACCCCTATAGCCTTTCACATCAGAAAATCAAATGGCCGGTCCCTCACAATTGTATAGTACTTTATCATTTTTATTCAAAATACAATACATAAGATAAGATATTCTATATCATTTTCTATATTGTTTAATGATTTGATATTGGTTTGTTGATTATTACTTTGTCCATATTATTGTTTGATCACTTGCTCTGTCACAGTCAGAAAGCCAACTCTGTACTGCTTGTACAGCTGTGTCCAGGATCCCATGAATGTCCCCCGTGCCCCATGCTTGCTGTACAAACCTACTGACCGGCAGTTATCCATGACAGTTGCAGTGTTGGGTTACATGTGTCCATAGCAGAGTGCACAGGATTATGATCCCCGCCACGAAGTTGAAGGAGGATATGGGAATGGGTGCTGTCAGTCCGCCCTTCCGTCGGACCATCACATTTCGTTTCTGGAGCAGAACTAAAAAACCACGAGCGATATCTTAAACAAACTTGGCACATAGATAGGTCTCGTGGTGAGCTGGTGCCTTTTGATAGTTTCTGATTTTTGAAAATTGTATTTTTTGAGGTTCCTAAGCAAACACTTGTACTTAGGCTGAAGATGGCGGTAGTGCTCGTTTCCGGAGGGCTAATGCCTTTCACACAACCGACATGTCATATTGGCAGTATTTCATGCTTGTTACATGTTGAAGGGCTTGTTACATGTTGAAAGGCTTGTTACATGCTGAAAGGCTTGTTACATGTTAAAGGGCTTGTTACATGTTGAAAGGCTTGTTACATGTTGAAGGGCTTGTTACATGTTGAAAGGCTTGTTACATGTTAAAGGGCTTGTTACATGTTGAAAGGCTTGTTACATGTTGAAGGGCTTGTTACATGTTGAAGGGCTTGTTACATGTTGAAGGGCTTGATGGGTTCAGCTCACAAAACCCTGTACACCCACAAGTGACACATGTAGCCAGTTCGTCATTACCTGTTCACAAGAAAAGATTTATTTTCCATGAAAGTTTGTGTGACAAGATCCGATGGGTCTAATGACGACAGTGGGTTCCAGAGGGGGCAACACAAACTGTGAACATGGTCAGGAATGACAAGGAGATGACATTGTATGAAACTCTTTGTTATGTCTGTAACTTGTGTTGGACAATGGTCTTTTCAAGATGGTTGCAAGCCAATCAGATATCTGGATTTTATTGTATAGATTTGTTTGTTTGTTTTTTAACGTCGCACTTAGCAATATTCCAGCTATATGACAGTGGTCTGTAAGTAATCGAGTCTGAACCAGACAATCCAGTGATTGACCGCATGAGCATTGATCCATGCAATTGGGATCATGACATTTAATGTAATGAGAAGTCACTATGACTGTGGGAGATCGTTGCTCTTGCTGTCGACCTCGGTTGTGGTTGTAGCAGACTTGATTATTTACAGACAGCTGTGCTAGTGTTTGAATGTTGACGACTAATGCGTAAAACGCATTTTCTCACTTCATTGAGTTAGTGTATGTGATATACTATCAATTGTTCAAGCAATGTTTTCAGTTTGAACAATAAATCATGCTTGTCTCCATGGCACATGTTTGTTCTTACTAGAGAAACACGTTGGGTTATGAAAGCTTTTCTACTGTAGGGCAGGGGGTGGCCTAGTGGTTAAAGCGTATGCTCGTCACGCCAAAGACCTGGGTTCGATTCCCCACATGGGTACAATGTGTGAAGCCCATTTCTGGTGTCCCCCATCGTGATATTGCTGAATATTGCTAAAAGTGGGGTTAAAACGACACTCATTCACCCACCTTCCTAATGTAGATGAGCAAGTGTCTTCAGTTCACTGGATGCCTCTGACAGTTCAAGGCTTGTTGCCCACATTGATTAGCTTGTCCCAGACTGATGAAGATCCGGAGTAGAATAGGTCTTCAGCAACCCATGGTTGCCGTAAAAGGGCAACTATGCGTGTCGTAAGAGGCGACCAACGGGATCGGTTAGTCATGCTCACTGACTTGGTTGATGCTTGTCATCATATCCCAGTTGCGTGGATCGATGCTCGTGATGTCAATCACTGGATTGTCTGGTCCAGACTTGATTATTTACAGACCGAGTCATATAGCAGGAATATTGCTGAGTGCAGCAGTAAACAACAAACAAAGCTTGTCCCATCACAATATCACTGAGTTATTTTTGTACCGGTACTATCCCCAGCCATGAAACAGATGGGGATATAGGAATCGGTGTTGTCCGTCCATCCTTCCGTACGCCCGTCCTTCGGTAGAACTAAAAACCCATGAGAGATAACTTAACCAAACTTGGCACATAGATAGGTCTAGTGAACTGGTGCCTTTTGATACTTTGGGTTTTTTAAAGAAAATATTTTTCGAGTTTCCACAGCAAGGACTTTGACTTAGACTTAAAATGGCGGTGGTGCTCATTTCCAGAGGGCTACTGCCTTGCTCACAACCAGACATGTCATCAGGTCATACTGGCGGGGGATGCGAGTAGTTCATGTTTGTTTTTTTATGAACGTTTGTAGTCTCTTATGGCACCAATAGGTTAGGTGGTTAGTGTTCCCCATGTGGGTGCAATGTGTGAAGCCCAAGGTGAAGCAGGTCTTAGACATTTACCACTTTGCTGAAATCCACGAGCACGGATATGGTGCTGGAAAACCTAGAAACATATTCGGGGCGAACCGGGATTTGGACCACAATCATAGGTTTCTGGCATGCTCAAGGGACGCAACTCTGCACAGCGAATTGCGACGACTGGGCCACCCATGTCTCCTATACACTTGAGTAAAAGTTTCTATGTTAGATCAGAGTGTTTACTACTCTCAAAGCAAGACTTGACTATATTTAAGGCACTGAAATAAGCATTTCTGTAAATGCATGAAGTTTCCACCTCTCATTGGGGCCAGTCAAACGCACTTCGCAGGAAAGTGTTTACTCGGTAACCATGGTTACTACATATTTCTGCTGTATGGGAGACTGCCTAAGTACAGAACTGTATCAAGTCAGCATGAAGTATTTACTCTGTAACCATGGTAACCACATATTTATCATCATTTTAATCAATCTTAATTACATCAAGCAGTCTTGGAATGCAAAATATGTAGTATCAGTTAGTAATTTTTATACACTCAATTACAAAAGTAACGGATCGTAAATTTATCGATACCAGTAACTGAAAAATTAATGACAGTGCATTGAGTCTGAATAGATTGATTACTCTTCTGACATTTTCTGCTTTATTTATTTTGTTTGAGTTGTTAACTGCTAATATTTTGTTAGCAACAGCATAAATAGAAAATGAAATAAGACATGTTAATACACGGCTAGATGGGTTCTATTCATGCGATACGATTTCTCAAGTAGTCAAGTCTTTCAATTATGGAAAAAACACATTGGCTGTCACTGTGCAAGCTTTGTGGTCAATCGGTACTTCTTATATAAAATGTGACAAATTGTTGGTGTCAGATGAATAATTTTGTTACCGTGCGTAGATCTATTTGTCCAAAGAAACACTGCCTCATTTCCTGTCTTCATATCACTAGCTGTGATGCAGAACTTGTCGTGTTGCAGCAACTAAACCAGTGATGATGTCTAGCGTCTACATCCAGTTTGCATTGACAATAAGCATATGATTGTAACACAGATAAAGCTGATTCTTAACTTCATTAGTCCTTGCTTTTTACATTTCCTTGTTCTAAACTGATGTTTCAAATTCCAACATAAACAAATTATTAATGTTATTCTTTTTTCTCTTCACACCAACAGATATCTGCATTGCACAATGACTCTTATTATTTTATTTAATATCTTGGCACACTGATGCATATGTACTAGTATTTGATTACACCTGCATGACTTTTTAGCAGTCATCTGTTTCTGAACTGAATATTATGCCAATAAAGATAAGTAGCATAAAAATAGGACTCTGGTATTCTTTCATGTTTGGAGAATCAATTAATTTCATTGTGAAAACATTTTTAATTTCTTACATAAGTTACTTTGATCTTCAAAATTAAATTGTGGAGATTAAATAATGCAGTCTAATTCATTTCAGTCAGTCTGTCTAACATCCAGTCCTATGTTTCAGGCAATAATAAATGAATGAAAATTTAAGAAAAAATATACCTTGCCTGAGTGAATCAGTCAATATACATATTGGGCCTGATTATAGACACTGACTGTAACATATGTAAGTATAATCTGTTATATCCAAAAACAAATAACATGGATTCAATTTGCATTTATTTAACCATCAGAAGATTTGATGATAAACTTCCTAAATTCATATTTCCTATATGATAATAATATCTATTAAATATACTTTATACTACAGGTGTCTTGAAGTACTGTTCAATGAAAATCAGGATACATAGCTACAGTGGGATAGTGTGTGGGTTTGTATGGGAAATAATTTGTCAACATTAAAACAAATATAATGTTACTAAAACAAGAAGATATAACTATGATTTACATTTATTTATGTATCATACACATTTTGTGGGGTAGTCAGTATGATTTGTTGTTTGTTGGGACAAATCTCTGTAATTTACTAGTATTTTAGGAGCATGAGTATCAGAATTCTGTAAGAAATGATGGATCAACTTTAATTTTAATATAAAAAGTAACATTTAAAATCATTTGTTTTATTATTTTGAACGTTATTTCTTCTTAAAATATTTGTAAAGGCACGGATGTATACTTACTTTATAGATCATTGGTAAAGACCTGTCAAAGATGCCTGTGTGCTTCAAATGTTGGCGTATCACTAATTTTATTAAATTGAAGTCCATGGTGGTATTTGTTGAGATTTGAATGCTTCGAATTGTGGGGGGAAATAACACAAAGGCTGATAAATAAAATGAGTTTGCATTATTTCATCGATGCAATATGTTGGCCCAGACTGACAGAATGCCTCGCTGTTTTCTGACGTAGAAAATACCGTGGCAATATACTGTTTTCATAACGTTTTTCCCGCTATCTTCCACAGTGACAATTCGTCTTGTAGTTGAAGACTCTACAAATGTTGATATGTTCATATTATAAACTAATAATCACTACAAAATATCTGCTAGATAAAATAATTCAGTTGTAAACAACCGTTTTTGAACGAAGGTGCCACAGGGTAACTAAAGTGCAATAATAATGGGACCATCAGCTTAACATAGTAACAATAGTTTTCTCAACATATGCTTTACAGACCCGTGAAGATTCGGGGTAGAATGGGTCTTCAGCAACCCATGCTTGCCATAAAAGGCGACTAAGCTCGTCGTAAGAGGCGACTAACGGGATCGGGTGGTCAGACTCGCTGACTTGGTTGATGCATGTCATTGATCCCAATTGCGTGGATCGATGCTCATGATGTCAATCACTGGATTGTCTGGTCCAAACTTGATTATTTACAGACCGAGTCATATAGCGGGAATATTGCTGAGTGCGGCATGAAACAAACAATCATTGAAAGCTTTTCTGGTCATGAGTAGTCAAACTTGTGTTCACTGCTCTTTTGACATGGAGGATGAAGAAAGCTTCTGACCGATGTGGAAACTAAGTTCCCTAGTACATAAGTATAAGTGATAAAAGTAATAACCAATAAAAAGGGTAACCTAAACATTATCTGCTGGGGTTCGAACATGTGTTTTGTACATATGCAAATAAGATAGATGCGCCAAACACAGTTTAGAGTTATCTTCCCTTGACAAGGAAGTGAAACCGTTTGCACCAGTCGATCTGACACCAGCAGAGACCATTATGTACAAGGAAATAAATAGTGTTTGAAATGTGTTGATGGCATGTGACATTTGAGGGAACTATTCACAGACAGCGGGACTATATCTTTCCTGAGTTGTCATCGATCAGGTAATTCTTAATTTTCATCTTGGTGGCACTACGAGAATATTTGGTGTCCATATAGGTGCGAGGGTTATCCATCATTCGTCACATTTTTTGTGTACACGTCCACGTGACAGCTCGCGTATGGGCTATTTATCGATTACGTTTCTACAGGCTTTTCTCTACTAACGTTATGGGGGCGGTCGGGTAGCCTAGTGGTTAAAGCGTTCGCTCGTCACGCCGAAGACCCGGGTTCGATTCCCGACATGGGTACAATGTGTGAAGCCCATTTCTGGTGTCCCCCGCCGTGATATTGCTGGAATATTGCTAAAAGCGGCGTAAAACCATACTCACTCACTCACTCACTACTAACGTTATGCGTACTCTGTCTCTTCTGAGGCTGGTCGTCCACTCAGGGATAACATACACCTCCGCACCTTTACTCCGTGGGTGGATTATAACTTTGTTCTAATTCGCTTTTCACAAACGAACATAAATATATCCACCAAGTATAACGTACCACACAGACCACACGCCAGTATATGGTCGCTGAACGTACGCAGCTCAAGCGTAATGCCCACCACAGCAAACAAGCAAGCCGGCCTTTGAATGATCACAAAGCAATAATACAATCTCTTCAAGTCAACCCTCAGGCCTGTGAAGACCTTACCGTACTCATCCTATTTCCGAAACACACAATTCAAAACTATAGATGTGACCAAAACAAGCTTGATAAAACTTG